AAAATATAAATGTGTTTTTTTGTGTGTGTGTTGTTGTCCCAACAACACATAAAAACAGATTTTATAATAAAGCATCTCGCATACAGAAACAGTAAAGTTAGAGATTAAAAATGAGATTAACGCGATTAAAAAACATAACGCGCTAAATTACATGACTGTAATTAATTAATCGCAATTAACGCGATAATGTGACACCCCTTATATATATATATATATATATATATATATATATATAAATTGTAAATATTGTTATATTTCACGTTGGGATAATTTCTCCTGTGCACCTTTCTGTTCTACTGGCTCTTCACCCTCGTCCATTGTGCGATACGGCGCGCGTTTGTGTGGGTTCGGCAAGGAATTACCTGTATATATATATTATATATTATATATATAAAAATTTGTGTTTCTCACCTTCCACGGTGGTAGGTCTCTCTCACCCTCATTCAGCTCGGGTCCTCTACCAGAGGCCTGGGAGCTTGAGAGTTCTGCGCAGTATCTTTGCTGTTCCCAGTACTGCACTTTTCTGGACTGAGATGTCCATTGTTTTTCCTGGTATCTGTTGAAGCCACTGTTCCAGTTTGGGGGTTACAGCCCCGAGTGCTCCGATCACCACAGGCACCACTGATGCCTTTACTTTCCAGGCTCTCTCCAGCTCTTCCTTGAGCCCCTGGTATTTCTCTAGCTTCTCGTGTTCCTTTTTCCTGATATTACCATCGCTTGGTATTGCGATGTCCACCACCACGGCTCTGCTCTGTTTCTTATCCACCACCACTATGTCTGGTTGGTTCGCCATCACCATTCTGTCAGTCTGTATCTGGAAGTCCCACAGGATCTTGGCTCGGTCATTCTCCACAACCTTTGGAGGTGTTTCCCACCTTGATCCTGGGGTTTCCAGCCCGTACTCTGCACAGATGTTTCTGTACACTATGCCCGCCACTTGGTTATGTCGCTCCATGTATGCTTTCCCTGCCAGCATCTTACACCCTGCAGTTATGTGCTGGACTGTCTCAGGAGCCTCTTTGCACAGTCTACACACCGTGGGTCTTGTCTGGTGTGGTAGATCTGGGCCTCTATTGCTCGAGTGCCCAGGGCCTGCTCCTGAGCAGCCAGGATCAGTGCCTCTGTGTGTCCTTCAGACCAGCCCTCTCAAGCCATTGGTAGGATTTCTTGATATCAGCCACTTCAGTTATGTTCCGGTGGTTCACCCCATGTAGGGGTTTGTCCTGCCATGATGGTCCCTCCAGCACCTCTTCCTCTGGACCCCACTGTCTGAGACATTCTCTGAGCACCTCATCTGCCGGGGCCTTGTCCTTGATGTACTCAAGGAGCTTGGATGTTTCGTCCTGGACAGTGGTTCCCACACTCACTAGTCCTTGGCCCCCTTCCTTCCGGCCTGCGTACAGTCTCAGGGTGCTGGATTTGGGATGGAACCCTCCATGCATGGTCAGGAGCTTTCGTGTCTTAACATCTGTGGTCTGTATCTCCTCCTTTGGCCAGCTTACAATCCCTGCAGGGTATCTGATCACTGGCAGTGCGTAGCTGTTGATTGCCTGCACCTTGTTCTTGCCATTGAGCTGGCTTCTAAGGACTTGCCTCACTCTTTGCAGGTATTTTGCCGTAGCCGCTTTCCTTGTTGCCTCTTCAAGGTTGCCATTTGCTTGTGGGATACCAAGGTACTTGTAACTGTCCTCAACGTCTGCTATTGTTCCCTCTGGGAGTGACACCCCCTCTGTGTGGACTACCTTCCCTCTCTTTGTCACCATCCTGCTACATTTCTCAAGCCCGAATGAACATCCCAATGTCTGTACTGTAGATCCTTGTGGTGTGGATCAGTGAGTCGATGTCTCGCTCACTCTTAGCGTACAGCTTGATGTCATCCATGTAGAGGAGGTGACTGATGGTGGCCCCGTTTCTGAGTCGGTATCCATAGCCAGTGCGGTCGATTATTTGGCTGAGGGGGTTCAGGCCTATGCAGAACAGTAGTGGGGACAGTGAGTCTCCTTGGTATATGCCACATTTGATGGACACGTGCAAATGGCTTCCCCTTGGCTTCAAGGGTGGTTTTCCACAACCGCATCGAGTTCGTAATGAACGCCCTTAGAGTCCTGTTGATATTGTACAGCTTCAAGCACTCAGTGATCCATGTGTGTGGCATTGAGTCATAGGCTTTCTTGTAATCAATCCAGGCAGTGCACAGGTTGGTCTTACGGGTTCTGCAGTCGCGGGCGACTGTTCGGTCAATCAGCAGTTGGTGTTTGGCTCCCCTGGTGTTTTTGCCGATACCCTTCTGTGCTGCGCTCATGTATTGATTCATGTGCCCACTTATCTTAGCCGCAATGATGCCTGACATGAGCTTCCATGTTGTGGAGAGACAGGTTATTGGCCGATAGTTGGATGGGACTGCACCCTTTGAGGGATCCTTTAGGATCAGGATCGTACGCCCTTGGGTTAACCATTCAGGGTGAGTCCCATCCCTTAGCAGCTGGTTCATTTGTGCTGCCAGGCGCTCGTGGAGGGCAGTGAGCTTCTTTAGCCAGTACGCATGGATCATGTCAGGGCCCGGTTTTTCATACCTGAGACTCTTCCCTGGATGTCTGCCACTGTGATGGTGACTGGATTCTGTTCAGGGAGGTTGCTGTGGTCTTCTCTCAGATCCACCAGCCACTGTGCATCGGTGTTATGTGATGCCTCCCTCTCCCATATGCCTTTCCAGTACCTCTCTCAGTCTCCAGCCTTGGTGGGTCTGCTCTGGTGTTATTACCCTGCCACTGAGCGTACACTTTCGCCGGTTGTGTTGCGAACAGCCGGTTTATTCGTCTGGCCTCGTTATCTCGTGTGTACCTCTTTAGGAGGCTGGCCAAGGCTTGGAGCCTTTGTTTGGCAGTTTCGAGTGCTTCAGGTATGGGCAACTGGTTGTACCTCTTGGGCACTTGCTTTTTCATTGCACCTTTCTGGGCCTCTGACAGTTGGCTCACTTCTCTCCGCACCTCCTTGATTTTAGCCTCTAACCGTCTTTTCCATGGTGGGTATTGTATTGCATGGCTCCCATGGTTGCTCTTATAGCCCAACACATCTAGGATCACTGCTGCTGAAGTGTATATCAGCTCATTGGTTTCAGTGATTGTTGTGGTAGGGATCGCTCTCAGTGCTGCATTCACATCGTCTAGGAGACTTTCAGATGGTACTTCACTTTGCCTCTGTAACTGGCATCGGGGTTATATATATATATATATATATATATATATATATATATATATATATATATATATATATATTTATATATGCAAAATAAAGTGCTTTCGGCCTGTCAACTGAGAAAAGCAAATAATCAATGTAAATCAGACACTGTTTTTGAATTGTTGTTTTACAGAATTATTAAAAAAAACAAAAACAAAAAAAAAAAACAATGAAACTGACCTGGAAAAAAATGGTGGTTCCCCTAGAAAAGATTGTAAGTAACTGAACAATAGGGACATGTTAAAATTCAGTGTGTCTCTAATCTGCATCACAGGTGTCTTCAAACTTGTCCTCAGTTAGTCTGTCTGTTTAAAGGGCGACATGTGTTATTGTTTGGAGACATGATGAAGATAACACTGAACATGGACCAGAGAAAGTGAAGAACTGTGTCAGGAGACACGAAAGAAAATGATAGACAAGCAGGTTAAAGATAAAGACCGTAAGACCATCTCTAAGCAGCTTGATGTTCCTGTGATTACAGTTGCACATGTTCTTCAGAAGTTTAAATTCCACAGGACTGTAGCCAACCTCCTTGGATGTGGCTGCAACTATCAAGGTATTTTGGAACAAAAGGTGTTGCCTCGTGTCAGAAAGCTTGGTCTCAGTCATAGGTCATGGGTCTTCCAACAGGATAATGAGCCAAAACACACAGCAAAAACACACAAGAATGGCTAAGAACAAAATATTGAACTGTTCTGAAGTGTGAGCCTAGATCTCAGTTCTCTTGAACATCTGTGAAAGGAGCTGAAACATGCGTCTGGAGAAGGAACCCTTCAAACCTGAGACAACAAGAACAGTTTGCTCATGAGAAATGGGTCAAAATACCAGTTGACCAGTGCAGAAGTCTCACTGACAGTGACTGAAATCATCTGCTTGCAGAGTTTGCCTCAAAACTTGTGCAACAAAATATTAATTGAGTGTACCATCATTTTTGTCCAGACCAGTTTCATTATTTAGTTTTTTCTAATGATTCTGTTGAACCACAGGTGGAAAGCAATGTTTGATTTTCATTGAGCAATTTTCTGTAAACTTTTATCTATTATTGATTTTATCAGTTTCAAGTTATTTCAGTGATGATCGTTGATTTTTCTTTCATTGCCAGAGGGGTACCAACTATTTTGTGCACGACTGTAAAAGCTTTTATATATAAAAGCTGGATAGGCCGAAAGTAGATCCTGTCCTTAGATTTGCGTTGTAGGTTTTCATTCATCAAGAACAGGTGAATTGTTACAAGATGTCATTGTAATTTGTTAAACCCACCGGTCACTCACAGCATTGCTGGAGCTGAGCTATAAGAGTGTGTGGGGGAAAGTGCCTGTTTGAGCTTAGAGCTGCATTCAAGAGAAAATGTGTGAATCATGATATAGCAAAAAGCAGATTGTCACAAGGATGAGCTCACAATTCAATTTTTATCACTGTATCATTCAGCCCTAGCTATATGCATTCATAATAGGACTCCAGCAACATGAACTTTTACTTCTGAATAGGAAATAAAACCACCCATAAAACCAACCCACTGAAAAAACTAAATAAACCCATACCACCAGAATAGCCTCTCTTTCTCTCTCTCTCTTTCTCTATCCCCCCCAAAAAGCCACACGCACAAGTTAATAAAAAAAGTGGTCTATTTTGGATACGGAACAGCCCTGTGTTATCTCCCAGGCGTTTTGACAAGTCCAATCTGGCTCCCTGTATGCCTATGCGAGGACCTCTGGCTGTGTTTTAAGTGTTTTTTAACTCTGACATGTGTTTGGGCTTCTCAGAGAGGCGGAGATGAGGGCTGCGGAGGAGGCCGGACTGAAGCACAGCGGGACAGTGGAGGAGATCAAATTAGACCCAGAGTGAGACGCCTGCAGCTTGTGCAGTACTATGTATGCCAACCCTCACTGACAGGATGATGGGAGAATGTCAAGCAATTTTTCCCATGTTATTATTTTTTTATTTGTTTATGTTTTGGAGGGGTGACTTTTTTGTGTCCCTCAAAACAGGTTTGATGCACATGACTTGCTTGGGTTTCTTTCTTTGCCTGTTAAAACAATTGCACATTTGAAGATGAATCACAATTGCATGACATGAGAACTGGTAGATATGTGCATAAAAACATATATTTAATAACAGCAGTCTAAAAAATTCAATGATAAAGTGAATGAATATTGTAGAGGTGATAGTTTATGATAGGAAATGAGGGTCTAGATTGGAAGAATACCTTGAGCTGCCACTGAAAAGATAATACACTTTGTCCAAATAAATATTTTTATAAACAATAACAACAATTATACAATAGTAAAATAGCAATCATATATTTATTAAGCATTATAAACATTTGATATGCTTCTCAAAGTGCTATAGCACCTCATCAGATCAGATTTCTTCTTGTTGATCTTAAAAATGTGAAAAAATGCAATTACTTCATTTTAAATATATTTAAATTATATATATATATATATATATATATATATATATATATATATATATATATATATATATATATATATATATATATATATATATATATATATATATATAATTTAAATATTTGTATGTGTGTGTATATATATATATATATATATATATATATATATATATATATATATATATATATATATATATGTATGGATGCCCATGTAGGGGTTTGTCCTGCCATGATGGTCCCTCCAGCACCTCTTCCTCTGGACCCCACTGTCTGAGACATTCTCTGAGAACCTCATCTGTTGGGGCCTTGTCCTTGATGTACTCAAGGAGCTTGGATGTTTCGTCCTGCCGCCGGCGCACGCTGTTTACTCAACCAACACAGAGGTTCTTAGCATCTTTTTGGAACTGTATTTTCCTCTCAGTTTGCACAGAGTTTGTTGCAATGGCAGACAAGAAATCACGACCAGTTCGCCCCAAAAGAAAGTCTGTTTTTGACGTCGCTGAAAAAAGAAGAGAAGGGGAAGAGGAGCGAAGCGCGACATTTGAAAAAGGACAAACAGTCGCTGCATTTCTATTTCCTTGGAAAATCTTCTATACAACCTTTAAGGAGTGTGCTGACCTCTACTGTTTACTGCCGGTAATGCAGTCCCTTAAGTGCTTAGAAAAAACACTTACATAAGGCTTCATGTAATTTGAACATATAATTATGAGATGTTTTGTCTTCAATATATAAACAGCTTCTTTTAATACATAATAAGTATTTATTTTGTGGGCAAATTTTAAAGCATATTTGGTAATTTAATGAACACCAGCCAATTTCTACAGTACACATTCTGCTGCATGAAAACTTACTGCACAAAACAATATGCACATAGACCCATTTTGTTTGTTAAGCAAAACTTTAAACCATGTTATAATGTTGTTACCTCCTCAAAAACAGACCTGGAGTTGTGTTTTGTGTCATTCACACATGTTTGAGTAATCCTTTATTATTACTCTATAACTGTCTATATCTCAAAACTCAAAATGCTCTGTTCCACATTGTGATATTATGTAGTGGTAGTTTTCAAGTCAACAGCTACTTTTACCTTTAGTTCAGTTGAGATTGGAAATTCCAATGATGAAACTGTCCAAATGATTCTAGTGAAGGTGTACACAGTGGGACACTTCCTTAATTATCACATCTGACATCACAAGTTGGAAGTGTTTCAGTTCGAGAGAAGTCCTTAGCCTAAATATGCAGGGTGTGTGTGAATGAAACAAAACAACAGAGATAACATAGATCAGCATGGGACCTTTAATATACTTTACAACTTGCTCAACTATTAATGACTGGTTGTTTTAGTTTTAATACTAAAGAAATCTATTATGTATTCCTTAGATAAATGGTTCATTTTATCACCAAAGTCTCAAAGCGTGTTCTTTCTCACTAAAAAATAAAATAAATCCTTCTATGGGACTCTACCATCTGTGGAACAACCTGGTTAATCATTTCTAAGAAGAAAAAAATACATTTGGGATGACAGCTTTTTTTCTTCATGTCTATAAATATGTAAAAGCTACTATATGTAACAACATATTTAAAATTGATGTAATTTAAAGCAATAAACTAAAGCTACCTAAATTGATCATTTTCCTAGATTAATTCTGATATTAAATATGCACTGTGTCACTTTTCAGATGTAGAGTCTGCAACCTGTAAGTCTCCATAGAGATGTTATTGGTTTGCCAGAAATGTTCCACAGGCATTGAGCTTATCACTCACACTATTTATTTACATACAGGTATTTTAATGGCTTAATAATGCCTAAGTGTTGTTGCAGGTCTTTTTGAGTGAAGAAGACATCTGTAATTGATTAGCTCCCAAGATAGGCATGTTAAATGTCTTACTGTGGAACATTCTGGCTAAAGTAAATACATCTTCATGAAGACAAACAAGTTGCATACCAGTGGTATACTCCACCAGAAAAGTTACATAGTGCATCTTTAAATAGTGTATAGTGTACAACTTGATGCACTGTGTAAATTTGCTGGTGGAGGGTCCGTCAAATTATTTTTTTCCATGGAGACGTTATTGCTTTGTCTGGAAGGTTTCACAGTTTCACAGTTATATAGACCAAATCAGACCAAATTACTGGTCAGATATGTGGAGAGGCAACCCTGCTCACAGCAAGAATGGCTGTTTTTCTAGGTATTTTTGAGCTATAAAACCACCTGTAATTGAATAAATATAAGGTAGAGCCATTTAATGTCATACTGTGGAAGATTCCAGGCAGAGCAATGACATATCCATAAGAAACAAGCAACCAAAAAGTTACACAGTGCACCTTTAAATGGCTATTTTGACTCATAGGATATGACAGACTGGAGTGTATTTATAAACCTCCATGGATGCTTTGAACTGCTCCTGCAGATCTGTCCCACTTAAAATATTGGATATTAATGATCTATAATCTCATCTCACAAACCAGATCTCAACCCCATCACCCCTGCACTTACTTACGTCACTCCTGATGTCAGAGAAGACAGATCACCGAGGCCCTGGGAGGGTAACTATGTTGTCATATACTTCTTCCTTTTCCTTCTTCATCTTCTCTGCCCAGCACCACTGACCCCCTCTGGCTCTTCTGTGACATAATCTGACAAGTCGAGCCTGTCCTCCTCCCGGCTGGACAAGAAACAGTAACCAGCCCCATGCCCAGCTGAGCCCTGCTTTCACACCTGTCACACATGGCAAAAGTTAGTGTGATCATTTGGACACAGATTGCGGGCCTGGGTGTGCATCTGGACATTGGAAGTTGGCAGGACAAATCTGGACAAGTGTTTTGTGATATGAGGATGGTGGGGCTTGAATCAGTTGGTGGTTGTTCAAATGTTGCTGTCATGTTTTGTTAGTTCACTGTTTTACCAATGGCACAGTCTTGAATGTGTGTGTGGAGATGCATATTGACAGCAGTCAGTCATTCAAGGACTTGGTGAATACAAACTACTACCAGTACAAGCCTTTCACTCACTTTGTGTCCTTAGGCAAGACATTTCACCCACATTGGTTTGGTTATATAGAAATAAGGTGCATTCATTGCTTTTTATTTATTTATTTATTTATTATTTATTTATATTTATATATTTTTTTTTCTTTTTTGAGTCAAGGGGTCATGAAAATTACATTTTTCTTTGCATATTCATTTAGGTTGTGTTTATTACACTGAAAAACACAGAAAAACATGCATATTTACTCTGACCGGGCTTAACTCCATGAAAATGTTGCACAGTTTGGCATAAAAGTTAACCACCTTCATAGAGAATGTTGATTTTAACTTCTTCTTTTCTTTTTCTTTGGTTTTAACTCCTATACAGGTGATGTGCCACGTCCAAAAAGTTATTATCATATATTTAAAAAAAAAGAAAAAACAGAAAAGGATATAAGAAAAAAAAAAATTGAATAACTGAAGTAAATTTTCATTTTTTTACAATTTTTAAACATTCTTTTCCCATTTATTCATTACTATCTGTTTAAAAACCTTTTTTAGAAGACACACTCTTGGCCTTTACCATAACCTGGGTGACTGTTTTATTTGAACCCAGTAGATACCTGTTGTTGTCTCCAAGGCCTCTCCATCATGTTTTTAAATGTCAGAGATAATCTCTTCCGACTTGTAACAACCAGAGTGGGAATAACGGCTGAGAGCAAATGCACACGAGCCGCACAAGCTGCCGCTGTAATGGACTATACACCCCAGAGTGGCAATAGATGTTACAGCAGCTCCGATCCGTTTGTTTATAATCAGTCTGAGGAGAGGGGCCATAACACTGGACTAATGCTGGTCTGTGTGTCCCTTAAATGTTCCTTGTTGGAAGTTGGTTATCAGAGAGTACTAAAAAGGAGCTGGATGTAGCCTACAATCTTTGTTTTATAAAAGGTGGAATCACAACTAAGTGTGGGTTGCCAGTGCCTTAACTAGCAGACAGAGTATATGGATAGTATATACACTGCACTAGTATTTCAGTACTTAGTGATTAATGTTTGGCTGCAGATGCTGGGGTTTAGGTAGTGAGAATTCAGATCAGAGAGAGGCTCATTCTGCTTTCTGATTAGTGGAACAATGGAAGAAAAAGTGTTACATTTCAAAATCTGAACAAGAGCTTTTTTGAGACAACCAACTTTTTCATGTATTATCATAATGTTTTTTTTTGTTTTTTTTTTCATTTACTCTATGAAGGTTATGCTATTTTGTATATTTTCTATAATCTAAACATTTTTGCTAATGTTTGCATTGCATCACACCATGGTAACTGCTGAACATTTCCCTAATAGACATAAATATAGAACACCCCCAGCATGATATCTCTGCGAAGTATCAACATTTTGATGAAACATAGTAATTGCGTTATGGTGATTTAAGACTACAAGAAAAAAATGCCAACTTTTATGGGAGAAACCAGAAGCGCCACTCTAAACTCCACTGGCTTTTGACTTGTGTACTCTAATCATTGTAATCTGACTTTATCCCTTCCTCCATCTTGAACAGGTGTTCATGCATATTTCCAAAGAGAGACTAAATTCTCCCCATGTTTCCAACACCACATAAATGCAGCATAAACATCCGATTTATTTTCATTTTTTGCGGCCGGGACCCCCCATCCCCCTTTCCCCCTTGCTTACCCAGTCCACATCACGCTTAATTTAAAGCCATGGCTGAGTTAGTGTGCTGCTTCAAAAAACGCACTATTTCTTCCAGGACTTGTGGGAGATTGGCATGTCCCCGCTGGACTGGGTGAAAAAGTGCCACAAGACAAAAATATCAAGAGTTTCGGAGCGGATGAAGAAAGCCCCTATGTGCTGA